CGGTGTAGATCTTGCACCGACCACCATACAAATAGTGCCTCCAAATCTTGAGTGCGTGAACAACGGCTGCCAACTCAAGGTCATGAGTCGGGTAGTTCTCCGCGTGGGGCTTCAGCAGTCGCGAATTGTAAGCGACAACCTTGCCCTCCTGCATTAGCACGCACCCAAGTTCCTGCTTCGAAGCATCACTATAGATAGTAAAACTCCTTGTAGGGTCCGGAATAGTCAGCACGGGCGCCGTAGTCAACCTCCTCTTGAGCTCCTGAAAGCTCGACTCACAACGGCTACTCCACTCGAACCTCACCAACTTCCTCGTCAAACGTGACAAGGGCAGGGCTATCTTAGAAAACCCCTCGATAAACCTCCTATAGTAGCCTGCTAACCCGAGAAAACTCCGTATCTCGGTAACAGACATCGGTGTTGACCAGTTCTTCACTGCCTCGAAATTCGCGGGATCGACCTCAATGCCCTCGACCGTAACAATGTGACCGAGGAACGCCACTCGATCGAGCCAAAACTCGCACTTCGAGAACTTGACGTACAGTCTCTCCCGCCTAAGAGTCTCCAACACGATCCTCAAATGCTCCTCGTGCTGGGCTGCGCTCCTCGAGTAGACCAAAATGTCATCTATGAAGACGATGACAAACTGGTCTAAGAATGGGTGAAAGACACGGTTCATGAGATCCATGAATACCGCCGGCGTATTGGTCAAGCCGAACGACATCACGAAAAACTCATAGTGACCGTATCGGGTACGAAACGCGGTCTTCGCCACGTCAGACTCCCGAATCCTCAGCAAATGGTAACCCGAACGAAGATCTATCTGGGAAAACACACCGGCACCTCTCAGCTGGTCGAATAAGTCCTCTATCCTGGGGAGTGGATACTTGTTCTTCACCGTCAACCGGTTCAAGTCCCGGTAGTCGATGCACATGCGCAGTGTCCCGTCCTTCTTCTTCACAAAGAGGACAGGTGCTCCCCAAGGTGAAACGCTCGGCCGGATGAAGCCGAGACCCAACAACTCCTGAATCTGAGCCTTCAACTCCTGAAGCTCCTTCGGCGCCATACGATACAGCGCTTTCGACACTGGCCCAGCTCAAGGCAACAGGTCAATCGTGAACTCCACCTAACGACTAGCTGGTCCTCCCGGTAGCTGATCTGGAAAGACATCCATGAAATCTCTCACTACGGGTACATCTCCAGGCATGCGCTCCTCCGAAGGTTCCCCGAGTATACTCACTAGATAGCCCTGACAATCCTCCCTCTGTAGGCACTTAGTCGCCTTCGCCATGGAAATGATACGCGGTGAAGTCCTCGTTCTCATCCCGAAGAATGTGATGTGGTCTCCATCGACTAAGTGCAACGTCACCTCTCTGTCACGACATCGGATGTCTGCGTGATATCTCTCCAACCAATCCATGCCAAGAATAAGGTAAAAGTCCCTCATCTCAATCACGAATGCGTCTACCTCTAGAATTCTGCCTCCAATACACATGCTAAGGTTCTTGGCCAGGGAACTCGTGACTATCTTCCTCCCCGAAGCTAGGCTGATCTCGAGGGGATCGACGTCACTCACACCCTGGACCCCTATGGCCTCTAGAAACTTGGCCGAGACGAACGAATGTGTCGCCCCGGTATCGAACAAAGTGAAGACAGGTACATCGAGTAAAGAGAGCATGTCAGACATGGTACCTGGCTGCTCGGCGGCCTGCTCCTGGTCAAGTGCGTAAATGCGAGCAGGTGCACCTCGAGGTG